GTTTTCTCAATACATGTAGCAGTATAATAGAGTAGTTGCAACAGAGATCATGTGGCCCACGAAACTTGAAACTGTACAACCTGGCCCTTTGCAGAAAAGTTTGTTGACTCTTGTTATGAACTGTTTATATTTTGGTAGAAATCTGCTTAATGATAAACATCTTTTCATGTCAATAAATCTCCAAAATAATTATAGGCTTTCATTTTAAAAATGGCACTTTTATAAGGATCTACTGCCTTTATCCAGTTTTACTGTGCTTTCTATTTATGAAGCATTACTATTTAATTCTCACAGTCTGCCAGTGAGTTGGACATTATGTGATCCTCAAAACCCTGCTTGCAAGTCACAGAAACCAACATTATTATTTATAATAGTAACAGTGCTGAGTGTCTTAAACAAGAGTAGGGGATTGAGGAAGCTCGGCTTTGGGAATATGGGGTTATCTGTGGAACCCTGGGACAGGGCTCTGCTGGGATGTGGAAGGGTCTGGGAAGCAGATAAGCCTCTCTGCACCTCCTCCCAGCCTTTGTGTGAATGGTTTCAATCTTTTCGTGTGGGTTGCCTTCCTCTGCCTGTCACTGTGAGTGAGTCTGGCTGCTGATGGCTTGAGTCTGTATTGAATGGTCATGTTACTGAAAGGTCTGTCCCTGTCCCTGGTGCTAAATTAAAATAGTGAGGACAAGATTTTGGGTTGAAGGGAAGAGAACATTTAGTCTGCAGTCATGTGGGAGGATGGCTGACCTCAGGGTCTCATGGACTATTGCTCTGTTGGATGAGAGTGTTTAGGGTTTGCAAGGAGGGCTGCAGGGAAGTAGGTGCATGCATGGGGAAATCACAAGAGAGCTGCAGGTGCCTCGTGTGAGTGCCAATGCTTGTCACTAGATGATGACATACATTCCTTCTGTGTTGCATCATGGTGGTCCTCGGGGGCCACAGGTGGTGAGGTTAGATCCAGCTTGACCAGGTCTTCCTGCTCTGCAAAAGAAGCTGAGAGAAGGAACAAGGCAGCTTGTGCCTGAGGACTTCCACCAGCAGGAGGCCAGCAGCCCCTCCCTGAAGCATCAGTAGCCCGGCTTTACCTGGAAGTAGTAAAAGGTTGCTTATGTTATTTTGTACCTGATTACTGTTATACCACTCTGAAGGAGACTCGCTGTTCCTTTTTAGTCCCAATTTCATATTTTATTATGGAAGGAAATGTAGATGGTCCAGCCATGGCCAGATTTTTTTCTGGTCTAGTCAACTGTCGCTATTTAGAAGTGGCTGTTGGGCAACTAGTTACAAAATAGCTCCCCTATGCATATATAGCTCTTAAGAGGAGTAATTTTAGGGGCCAGCGCTATGGCACCAGCATCCCATATGGGCGCTGGTTTGTGTCCTGGCTGCTCCATTTCCCACAGCTCTCTGCTGTGGCCTGGGAAAGAAGTAGAAGATGGCCCAAGTGCTTGGGCCCCTGCACCCACGTGGGGGATCCAGAAGAAACTCCTGGCTCCTGGCTTCAGATCGGCCCACCTGTGGCCTTTGTGGCCATTCGGGGAGTCATTCAGCAGATAAAAGACCTTTGTCTCTGTCTCTCCCTCTCTCTGTCTGTAAATCTACCTCTCAAATAAATAAATCTTTAAGAAAAAAAGAGAGGAGTGATTGTGGATTAGTTAGATCCTTCCAAAGTTGTCTACTCCATTATATTGCTCTCATTTTCCAGAGAAGGAAATGCAGCCATAGAGATACCAGATGAGTTGCTCAAGTAGTCAGATGAGCATATACGGACTCTAAATTCTAGGTCTGTTTTGAGAATACCAGGCTGCTGCTCAGAGTCACATCACATTTGGGCTGCGGATCATGTCTTGCTCATTTCTCATCTCATTGCCTGATGCATCATTGGAAGAATGGAATTCCCTCTGTGTCTTTTATTTTGTTTCCAGTCTGCAGCTGAGAGGGCAATGGACAGATGCAGGTTTTGGGATTTCCTTTGCTTGATTGCTATGTTCATAGTGCTTTGATCCATCGATTGAGTGAAATTGAGTGAAAACGATCCACATGCCAATCTGAGCCGGCATCTCATTGCTTAGCCTGGCTTTGGTCTCACATCGTGTGTCTAATGCCAGAAACTAAATCTGCAGGCTTGATTAGCAATGGTTACAGCCCAGTGAGCACCGATGCAGAAACTGCCTTGACATGATGTTTCATCAGGGAGAAATCGTAGCCACAAAACCTTCTCCTAAACAAACCAAGGAGGATGCCTCTGGTACTGTGACTCTGATTCTAGTGTGGTTGTTGAATAAAATGTGCCATGATTTTATGGATTTATTTTTCTGTTAAGTTGAATGAGCAAAATGAGCCGTGTGCTTTTGTGAAATGCAGCTCTGAGATAGTCCTGGAAACAGCGGCTTGCTGGATGAGTTCCTTTCTGTAAGGGAAGAACTCAGGTGTGGAAGACAGGTGCAATGGGAATTGCTGTTTGCTGCTCTAATACCCATTGCTGTTTTTCCTCTGTCCTCTAAATATACCCTGAAACTGCCTCTTCTCCATGTGTTTTTGGAGTCAGACTGAATACACTCCTGGCTCAAGATTGACCTAAGCCAATTTGTGGATTCTTTCCCTCCTTTCAGGTAATAGTGTGAGATTTAATAAAATGACCCATTTCAGGATAATGAAAGGTATGTTGAGATCTGCTATGGGGATTGACATTTTCTTTTCCCAGGATCTTTTATGATAAGGATGTGTGGCCTGAAAGTGAGGCAACTATTCTTCTGTCTCATGAGTCTGGGGTGTGTGTATCTGGGGACGTGTCTATCATATGAAGCTGATCCCATGGAAGGTAGAGCTAAGATACGGAAACATGAGACACATGGTTCTTGGTAATAATGCCTGAACTAACGAATCAGCAAGCTTCATTTGAAGTCCTCTGTAATGAAATCAATTGCTTAAGCCCTGTGAACTGGATTTCTAATAATTTCCTTAAAAATACCCTATCTGGTACAAGTAGTATAACCAAATATCTGCTCAGAATAGACTGTGTTTGCTTGGTAATATGACTGGCTTCATCCAAAGACCTCACACATTTGTCACTTGATGCTAATGGCAGCTCACAGACCGGTCAAGGAGTGGTGACTCTAGCTCCCAGTTTGCATCCAGATTTCTGTCTGCCTGAGCACTTCACATTATTGTCAGGTTTGATAGCTGACTGATTGCTTTGTTTGGCACAATTTGCTGTTTTTTTTTTTTTTTAAAGATTTTATTTATTTATTTGAGAGGTAGAGCCACAGACAGTGAGAGGGAGAGGGAGAGGGAGAGAGAGAGAGAGAGAGAGAGAGAGGTCTTTCATCTGCTGGCTCACTCCCTAGATGTCCACAATGGCCAGAGCTGCACCGATCCAAAGCCAGGAGCTTCTTCCTGGTATCCCATGAAGGTGCAGAGGCCCAAGGACCTGGGCCATCTTCTACTGCTTTCCTAGGACACAGCAGAGAGCTGGATCAGAAGAGGAGCAGCTGAGACTAGAACTGGCACCCCTATGGGATGCTGGTGCCACAGGCAGAGGATTAATCTACTGTGCCATAGTGCCGGCCCCATAACTTGCTGTCTTTTGATAGAAAGGAAAGTACTTATCTATCAGTTTGTTAGATGACTCCCTTTCTTCGTTATGAGTTACCTTTTAAGGGTGTTTCTAGTCAGTGTGGAACTCAAGCCCAAGTAGTCTCTTCTGTGATTTTGGGCTGACAGTTTCATTAGGGGTGCTCTGGGGAGCAGGGAAAGTCTTGAAGAGTCTGCATGACTTAGGATAATTCCTTTCCCTGTGTTCATACCTGGCCTGGAAGGGTACATGTGACCCAGGTCTGGGCAATTGATGTGGGCTGGGAGCCTTCTGGGAGTGGGGCTAGACCTGGAGAAGGTTTCTTAGCTCATTAAAGACAGGAGACCTGATGTCACTGAAGGCTCTACCTCTTGGTGTTTTATTACATGAGATTTAAAGATGGTTTTCCATTTTTATTGTTTTTTTCTTTCTTATGTCACAGAAAGCATCCTGCTTCATTTTGCCAAACCTATTCTAAGTACAGGATTGTTGGTTCTCCTAAGAAGGGATCTGAAAGCCAAAACAAAACAGAAGAGGGAAGAAATATATTTCACTACCTCTACTATGGTGCTTTGACTTTTATCTGGATGTCCTGGTTCTCTGCGTTTGACTCCATCTTAGGCCACACAGGAGAAGGAGGGGCCTGTGTGAACCCCAGATTTTGAAGCTTCTTTTGTATGTAGTGGTGGTGTTTACATACTGCATGCAAACGAACATGAATTTGCTAGCTCTCTCTCACACATATTTAAGAAAGCATCTTTTACTAAGTGTTTGCAGGCTCATATTTAGAAAAACTAAGCATGTGTTCCCTTCTGTTCTCCAATATGAACTTATAAAACCAGATGATATATGATATATGTGTATTAAAATGGTAGTGATTTACCCATCATTCCTTTACTTTTAGAACTAGTTGCTGTGGTCTGCATATAATAAATGACACTGTCTCATGGTTTGACATAGAGAATTACATCAGACTTTTCTGCCAACCTGTATGTTCAATTGATAGTCATTAGGAGAGTTGGAACTTTAAAAGATAGAGGATTTGATTAAAATCTGTAAATTGTTCATGGTCTTGAGACCTCTCTCTGCTTCCACTTAACTAAACAGTTAACATTAAACTTTTCCCCCAAGGTGTTTATGTGGTCTTATTCTATTTATCAACTAAGCCATGAAAATCATTGGTTGAAATGCCGTCTTAATTAAATCACAGGTGTACTTCAGGCCAGAGAGGGTGCAGTGAAAAGATGAAGCATGTACCCCCCATGGCTGACGTGCTTGGGTTTGGATTTGGACTCTGCCACTTGCATTTTAGAGAACCTCTTCATTCCTCAGTTTCCTTACCTATGAAATGGGAAAAATATGATAATTGTAGGACTCGACAAAGGAGTCTCCTCTTTTGGGAGTGCCAGCCATGGAGCTGGCACCTCCAGACCCTGGTCTGAGCCTGCAGTGACTCCTGGTATCTCCTGACTTGACCATCTGCTGTTTCCATTCTCTCTGTTTTTCTCAGAGCCTGGACCATGGTGGCTGTAATTTCCCAAGAGGCCACACAGAGATGGTTCCAGGGAATGCAGTTCTGAAGTCCAAATGGGCATGGAGGGCTTGCTCGTGTGGTTGTTGGCAGCACTGCCAAAGTTCCACCCCCTACCGCTGCCTTCTTCCAGATCAGGACACAGTCTAGCAGGTGCCAAGATACTGGTGCTCAGGAGTGGGAATGGTTTGGATGCTCCCATATGTGGAGATCAGGAGGGCCTGGTAGTTTTCAGCCAGGGCCAGAAGGACTCCATGGATGAAGCATGGCTGGTCCTTGGGCCCCCAGGAGAATCAATGGTGGGGAGCAAGTACCGGTACTTTTGGGTGCTTTTATTGTCCTGGCCATCGGCCAGTAAGAATCTGTGGATTCTAGAGGTTCTAGATGTACACTAGTAAGCCCTCTGTTGCTGGATTATGGAGAGATTCTGGGGGTACTGGCAGGGGCTTCCATGGAGACCTCAGGACAGTAGTTACTTATTGAACCTGCAGATCCACTTAATTTCTCCAAAATTACCACTTCCCTGCTGGTGAAAACCAGCAGAGTATCAGTCCTCAATGTTGGGACTGAGATGAAAAGGGAATTTAGGAAAGTGAATTAATATTTTTCGAGTAGATGGTATTAGTAAAGTGAGACCCAAAGATATCACTTAGGTTGCTAGCGTGTGAGGAATTTGGATCTGAATCTGAATCAATCAATTCCAGCCTCATTTTAGGTTTAGAGGGAAGGGAAAATTGGGGATGCTGCTGATGACCAGAAACACCTCTGGGTTCTGATGACTCACTGGACATATAACCTCAATGGCTTTTAGTTTTGTGAGGTCACCACAGTCCACTCCAGGTGGGACTCACATGACCCCCAAGGGAAATGTTAATGTTGCTGCGTCCACCCATGTTCAGTGCTAACAGGAAAATACGTTTCTGCCGCGGAGTTTCCAGGGGCTTCTAAAACTTTGCTTCAGCTTCCTGAGCCCGATACTGTACCCCCAGGAAGTAGGCACCCCACTGGGGCCAGGAAACCAGGAGAAGCAGCACTCTTATTTCACTGAACACTAGGGTGTTTCTGGGATCTCCAGGAGTCTGAAGAATGGGTGATGATGGGTTCTTTCCGCTTGTGCCTGGGGCTCGTGAGGGTGGATGAGGGGCTGGAGGAGCACTGGAGTGTGGGGCCTGAGCTTTGTTGAAATGACAGCTCTTGGCCGGCGCCGTGGCTCAATAGGCTAATCCTCCACCTTGCGGCGCCGGCACACCGGGTTCTAGTCCCGGTCAGGGCGCCGGATTCTGTCCCGGTTGCCCCTCTTCCAGGCCAGCCCTCTGCTATGGCCAGGGAGTGCAGTGGAGGATGGCCCAGGTGCTTGGGCCCTGCACCCCATGGGAGACCAGGAAAAGCACCTGGATCCTGGCTCCTGCCATCGGATCAGCGCGGTGCGCCGGCTGCAGCGGCGGCCATTGGAGGGTGAACCAACGGCAAAAGGAAGACCTTTCTCTCTCTGTCTCTCTCTCTCACTGTCCACTCTGCCTGTCAAAAATAAAAAAAAAAAAAAAAAAGAAATGACAGCTCTTGATACGTTTTCTCCTTTAATTTGAACATATTAAAGCAAAAATCATATGGCCTGAGATCAGTTTTTAATTGTAGTGAGTGTCTCACGAACTGAGGTGAGAACCAGGCCGTGCGTCAAGGCTTCTGTGGCTTCAGGAATGTGGAGGAGCAGGGAGGGGAGGTACCTGACGAGGCTGTGAGAAGCCCTGGCCTCTCGGGTCAGCACACGCTGGACTCGCGGATCTGCTACTTGTGAGGCAAGTGATAGGCCAGCAGCCTCTCTGCCTCAGTTTCTCTGGGACTGTCTGTGAGTTGGTTTGTCTGTCTGTGTACAGAAAGGCAGTAATCACACTACTATCCAACTTGCAAATGCTGAATGTTATAACTTCTGTCCCAATTTTCCCAAATCCTCCAGTCTCCATCGTGTGAACGTGGCAGTGAGGGTGTTTTTCCCCTGCAATTCACTTGGCTTTGTGCTTCTCCTCCATGGAGCTCTCCCAGTCTTCCAAGCCAACAAAGTGTCTTATTATGGTGTTTCTTAAAGCGCCTGTTCTTCATACATTATGGTGCCTTGGACTGAATGTGCCTCCCTTAAATTTCTTTTGTTAAACTCCAAACCCCCAGTGTAATGGTGTTAGAAGGTGGGCCTTTGTGAGGGGGTTGGATCACAAGAGCAGAGTCCTCAGGAATGGGATTAGTACCCCTTTTAATGGAAGCCCCAGAGAGCTCCCTTGCCCCTTTCACCAGGTGAGGACAAGGTGAGAAGGTGCCTTTCTGTGACCCGGAAGTGGATCCTGCCAGAAACGGAATATGCTGCTGATTTCATCTTGGACTTTCCAGTCTCGAGAACCGTGAGGAATAAACTTATGTTGTATAAGCCAACCTGCTTATGATAGTTTATTACTGTAGACCAAATAGACTAGGATGATTATAATGACATAGTTTTCTGTTTTTATCTTTGTTTTATTTATTTTAAAGGCAGAGACAGAGAGAGATCACTCGTCCACAGATTCGCTGCCTAAATATTTGCAATATCTGGGGTTGGGCCAGGCCAAAGCCAGGATCCAAGAAATCATTGCAGGTCTCCCAAGTGGGTGGCAGGGACCCCAGTACTTTAGCCATCACTTCCTGTTTCCCACAGTGAGCATTAAGAGGAAGCTGGAATCAGGAGTGAAGCCAGAGCTCAAAGCCAGAAATTCCCATATGGGATGTAGGATTCCCAAGCTGTGTCGTAATTGCTCAGTCTAACTCTTGTCATGATACCGTTTTTAAGTTACTACAAGTTTAATTGAATTTTCCCATCTTTAGACTGTAAGCTCCAAAATATTAGGAACATATCTGCAGTTTCATTTAAAAGTGAAAAGATCACCGGTGAAGATTTTATAACACTGATAAGGCCATTGACACCTGATAACTAACTGTTCTATAAGTGGCAGCTGGGCTTGGTACAGACTAGGTCCGCAGTAAAATTTGTCCAATGAATACATACCTGAGGTTTTATGGTTTGAAACTGAAATAGATTAGTAATAGAAATGTGTATGTTGGAGATTAACTAGAGGCTTGGCTGCTGTTTTTGGTTAATAATAATAATCTGAGTTTTGAGTTTCTACTTCTCATTGCCTTGCAAACCATAACGTTGGTCAAATTACTTTTTTTTTAAATTTGAGGTGCGTCCAGAGAATCACAGGTCTCATGTGTGAACTTTGAAGTAAGCAGGCTGCAAATTTTTAGTGATTTTATTTTGGAGTGTCAGATAACAGGCAGCTGAAACTCAACCGGCTTCAAATGTCACAAAATGTCTTCCTGCAATTCTTCTCAAGCATTAAATGCATTAAACCTTAAAGGCACAGTGTGCATTTCCTAACTCTCTGTGGATTTAAACTAAGCAGACACAGCCTTACCCAAGAGGCATTTCTTATCTAAATGGATTGCATAGATGATGATTTTCCCCCAAATCCTCAAGATTGCTTTTCAGATGAGATAATGGTGAAAGCAGGGAGTGGGAAGATTTTTGTAAAAGGTAGTAAATACATCAGGCTCTGCAGGCTGTAGGTCTCTGTAGTGACTCAGCTCTGCTGCGCTAATGTCAAAGCAGCCACAGACACATGCAAAGAAATGGTATGATAAAACTTTATAAAAACCGGCAGTGGAGACGATCGGCCCAAAGGTGGTAGTTTGCTGGCTCCTGGTTAAACACATAGGCTGGCATAGGTGTTCAAAACCTGACTGTGCCATGTAGAAGGTGAGAGGCCTTCAGCAAGGTTCTCACCCTCGCTGAGAGGATGCTCAGTTGCCCCGTGAAAGGCACAGCTGGGCAGGAACAGACACCTGCCACCAGCCATGTCAAAGAGCCACTTGGGAGCACACTCCCCTGGATCCAGTGGAGCCTTCGAGGTGCAGCTTCATCAGAGTCTCTGAGCCAGAACCAGCATTCTTCTGGGCAAGTGTGATGTCATGTGACAGCTCACAAAATAAGAGAAGTTGCGGATGGCATTTGGGAATTGATGAAGACTGTATTCTTTTTCCATGGAAAAGTGAGTAGAGTGATTTTGTGCATGAGCAGACTTCTTTCGACTTCACCGGCCTCCCTCTGTCTCCCCTATCCCTTTAGATCACAGAGGCTTCCTTTTAGGACTTGAAATGGACCAGCTTATTTTCTGCCTCAGGGCCTTTGCACATGCTATATGTGCTCTTAGGCAGTTCTGGATCTTCACATGCTGCTTTATTTTCACCCTTCCTGTTGGCTTCAGCGTCACTCCTCAGCGAGAGCATCTTTCAGTGCTCTGAAGGGGCAGTGCCCCTCCCTGCACCTGCTTCTTCAGCGCACTAAGCATAATTGGTAACGTTTGTACTTTTTCTTTATTTTTTATTGGTGCTGTCTGACCTTCCTATTTTCTACCTGGCAAAGTAGAAAGGCAGGAACTATGACTTTCTGGGACACTGCTGGCACTTGGCACCTTCTAAGTTGTTGATAACTGCTTGTGGAATGATGGAAGGAATTTCTGGGAAGTTGTCTTTGTATGAGTTTATCAGTTCTGGTGTTTGGGAGTGCACGCAGGCTTGGAATGACCACCGCTTGCAGAATGCAGCCCGGTCATCTCTTTCCCCTCTGCTCTGCACCCCTCCCCCCGGCCCTGCACCTCTCCTTTCTTCCTCACATCCCCCTTTTGTCTTCTGGTATACTAAGCTACATAACTTACTGCTATATTTTGTTTATGATGTACCTCCCCCTCAGATGTAATTTACACAAGTGTGAGGATTTTGGTACATTCTCTTCACAAAATAGAGATTTAAAATATTTGCTAAATGCGTAACATTTTTGAATGCCATATAGGAATCATTGACCCCAGAAAATAAAGCACTAAAAAAACACAACACAACAAAACTGCAGTCCATACTTACACTATGGACTTAAAATTCGTCAAATACAAGGGTACTTCAAAACAGTCATG